CTTGATATTTGTTATATAGTATACACCATAGCAAGTTATAGATCAAGTTAGCATTTTGTTCCAGTACAATGAATTTTTAACCTGTAGGGGACTACGAGGGTTGTCCGTAAAGTTTGAGGACAATCTCAATAAAATATCATTTACCCGTCCGAAATAAATAAAACAAGTATGTAACTAATTTCATGATTTACTGATTAAGTGTACAAAATTTTATTTCAGTACCTGCTTAAATAATCGTATTGTCATCAATTTGAAAATCATAAGAAACTCTCACCCGGAGCATCCGAACAAATATTTCCGACGTTCCGACGTTCAACGACGTAAACATTTTAAAAACTTTTCTCAACGTAGTCTCCTTTCAAAGCAACACAGTTTTTACATCTTTTCAACCAGTCATCAAATATTTTATCAAACTGTTCTGTTTTCATTTTTAAGATTATGTTCATTACGTCCCGTCTTAGTTCAGGTAAATCGTCGAACCTTTTTCCACGGAGAAAAGATTTGATATGCGGGAATACCGCAAAATCCATTGGTGCTAAGTCATGGCTATACGGAGGTTGTTTCAGACATTCGAATTCAAGTAAATCAATTTCTAGATGAGTTTTTAGAGAAGTGTGCCCGGTGCATTGTCTTTGTGTAATATCACTGATGTAGTAATGAAACCAGCTTTCATCGGTTGTAATTAGTCTGTCTAGAAATCGTATGCCACTACGAGAAAGTTTTTTAATAAACTGATTTGACAATTCCATTCATTTTGTTAAATGTTCTGCTGTAAGAAGTCGCTGTACCCATCTTGCACATACTCGATTCATATTTAAATCATTTGCTAAAATGTGGTGCGCTGTAGTCTTAGAAATGTCATATTTTGTCTGCAACTTCGCAAACTGTTAGTCGCCGGTCAACGTTGATAACGTTCAGAACTTCATATTTTATCGCATCTGATTTCCTGAAAGATGGCCTACCTTTCCGCTCTTCGTCTTCCAAATTGTCTCTACCGTCCCCAAACCTTTTGTGCCACTTGAATTCCAATGAACGACTAACTTTGCTATGTTTCTCAGACTGTTTTAAGAATTTGTGTGTTTCTGTTGGCGTCTTTCCGATGTCTACACAAAACTTTATAACCATCCGCTGCTCCACCTTTTCCGTAAATGTCCTTTTTTTCAGTGATGCCGATTCTGAATTCAATGCTTCAAATCGAGATTTCTCCGCTATTTCAAAATTTTGACCATTCAAATTAAGCAGGCGTAACGGCAAGACTATTGTCGACGTCACAATGTATGTTTCGTGTATTTTTTGGCGGATTTTGAAATTTAAAATAACAAAAATATGAAAACACCAGCCTGCAAGTAATGTGATATTTTCACCATGCTCCGGGTCCCTATTGATTATATTTATATGAAGTAAGTGTCATTATTTTGCATTTAAAATTGGACAACTATTGATATAACCGAACTAGGATATAGTTCAGAATTACAAATATGCAAAAAGAATTTACCTGAAATGCTATTTTTTCGCAGACTTCAGCTTGTCCACGAACTTTACGGACAACCCTTGTATGTATTGCCAGGCAATACTCACAGAATGCTTGTTTTTGATGAAGCAAACACCTTTAAAAACTAAGCTTATATTGTCTATTAATAAACAAGTATTTAGATTTTTATACGACCGCAAAAATATTTTGCAGTCGTATATTGGTATAACGTTGGCGTCGACGTCGTCGTCGTCCGAAGACAGATTGGTTTTTGCACACTAACTTTAGTTTAAGTGAATGGATCTCTATGAAATTTTACCATAAGGTTCAATACCACAAAAGGAAGGTTGGGATTGATTTTGGGGGTTATGGTACCAACAGTTAAGGAATTAGGGGCCAAAAAGGGGCCAAAAATAAGTATTTTTGTAACTTCCAGACATAACTTGTGTGTTATTGTATGGATCTCTCTGACATTATACCACAAGGTTCCATATCACAAAGGGAATGCTGGGATTGATTTTGGGGATAATTGCCTCAAAATTTTAAGAATTAGGGGCCAAGAAAGGGGCAAAAAACAAGCATTTTTCAAGTTTCATGATAATAACGTGTGTGTAAGTGTATGGATCTTTCTGAAAGTGTACTACAAGGTTCCATATCACAAAGGGAAAGCTGGAATTGAGTTTGGGGGTAATTGCACAAAACGTTTAGGAATAAGGGGCCAAAAAGGGGCCTAAAAACAAGCATTTTTCTAGAATCCAGACAATAACTTGTGTTCAAGTGTATGGATCTCTCTGAAATTGTACTGCAGGGTACCATACCACGAAGGGAAGGCTGGGATTGAGTTTGGGGGTGATGAATCATAAGGGGGTTCAAAAAATTTGGGGGAGGGATTTTTTTGTTGTTGAAATTTTCCATTTTAAATTGGTTATTTCTGATTTATATATAAAAGCAAATAATAATGATATGGTTTGAATAGGTAAATTAAAAATGTTTAAATTCTTAGACCACATTCATTCTGTGGCAGAAACCTATGCTGTGTCAAATATTTATTCACAATCCAAATTCAGTGCTGTATCAAGCTTGAATGTTGTGTCCATACTTGCCCCAACTGTTCAGGGTTCGACCTCTGCGCCCAGCGGAGCATTTTATATATATTTTTATGCCCCCGTCGTAGTGGAGGGGGCATTAAGTTTTACCCTTGTCCATCTGTACGTCCGTCCGTACCTCCCAAGATTGGTTTCTGTTCTCTAACTTTAGTTTGCCTCAACCAAATGTTATGAAACTTATTAGTCCCCTACCGACGAAGTCGAAGGGGACTTTAGGTTTGCACTCTTTCGGTCTGTCTGTCTGTCTGTCCGTCTGTCTGTCCATCTGTCAGTCAGGCAAATCAGTTTTCCAGACTTTTTTTCTTTGTGCTTGAAGATATTGATTTGATATTTGGATTATTGTTTTATCATGACAAGTTACAGGTCAAGTTCAATTTTCACGATTTTAGCTTTTCTCTTTGTTCAGTAAAAGCCCTTTCCCTAGAATTAAATTTTTGATGAAATACTTATTAATTACATTTAGTAGTTTTCTGTTCAAAGGGAAATAACTCATTTTTTTAAAAGGCAAAATGACATTTTGAATTTTTTTCCATTTCTTTGGTAAATTGTTTGAAGAATTTAGTGGTAAGTTTGTTTGTCATTCTTGAAGATATTGATTTGATAATTAGTATATAGTTTTATCATGACAAGTTACAGATCAAGTTGGAATTTTATTCCAGTCTGTTGATTTTGTGCAGAGTTATTGTCTTTGGACATAGAAAATTCACTTAAATAATCAGTTTTCAACAGTTTTTTTGGTCATGCATGAAGATTTTGACTTGATAGTTTTATGTAGTTTACACCATGACAAGTTATAGATCAAGTTAGAATTTTGTTCCATTACAATGAATTTTTAACCGGTAGGGGACTATGTATTGCCATGCAATACTCACAGAATGCTTGTTTATATATAGGGTTCTTTGAAATGCTGAATCTAAACCTGTATTTAAATTTTTGACTTTTGGGCCCAGTTTCCAAGTTGGTCCAAATCATGGTCCAAAATTAAACTTTGTTGGATTTCAACAAAAATTGAATTTATGGGGTTCTTTGAAATGCTAAATCTAACCATGTATTTAGATTTTGAATTTTTGGCTCAGTTATCAAATTTGTCCACATTGAGGTCCAAAGGGTCCTAAATTAAACTTTTGTTTGATTTCATCAAAAATTGAATTCTTGGGGTTCTTTGATATGCTGATTCTAACCATGTACTTAGATTTTAGATATTGGACCATAATAGGTAAAAGTCCAATTTCAAATTTTTCAGTTCTTTGACCACATTCATTTTGTGTCACAAACCTATGCTGTGTCAAATATTCAATCACAATCCAACTTCATTGCTGTTTTAAGCATAAATGTAGTGTCCATACCTGCCCCAACTGTTCAGGGTTTGACCTTTGCGGTCGTATCAAGCTGCGCCCAGCGGAGCATTTTATTTGATATTACTACCGGTATACTGTTTGTCATGAGACAAACAACCTAACTACATGTATATATAAAAAAGAAGATATGGTATTATTGCCAATGAGACAACTCTCCACAAGAGACCAAATGGCACAGAAATTAACAACGATATGTATGTTTGTTAAGTGAACCAGAGAAAGACTGTCTGTCATGTGGTTGAAGAAGAAAAGACTGAAGCGAAGTTTTAAGCTTAAGGCTGCAACCACTTTTTCTACGCCCGTTTACGGGACATATGGTATACTGTTGTCCGTTTGTCCGTCTGTTGGTCTGTTGTCACATGTCGGACAATAACTCAAAAATGCTTTGAGCAGTTTTCATGAAACATTGGTGAATTACTTAAATCTATTGACGTGAGCTCCCTTTCAATTTTTATGAATTTTAGATTATACGTTTCCGAGTTATTGGGTTTTATTCATTAAAAAAGGGGGATTTACCAGTTTTCGGACAATAAATAAAAAATGCCTTGAGCAGTTTTCATGAAACTTTGGTGAATTGTTTATATCTATTGACGTCAGCTCCCTTTAGATTTTTATAAATTTTAGGTTTTACGTTTCCAAGTTATGAGGTTTTATTCATTAAAAAAGGGGGATTTTCCAGTTTTCGGACAGTAACTCAAAAGTGCTTTGAGCAGTTTTCATTAAACTTTGGTGACTGTTTTATATCTATTAAAATAACCTCCCTTTAGTTTTTTTTATAAATTTCTGAGACGACATTGAGGAGTTATGGTACTTTATTCTTTGAAAAAGCGATGGGCGTATCATGTGCTCATGGCGCAGCTCTTTATTAATTAATTTGAAAACCAAAATTTAAAATTGTTTAATGCTCCAATTGTCAAGCTAAGTTTTCAGCATCAATTGATTGTTCCTCAATAACTTTATACTTACCAGGTCAACAATATTTGGAATGTGCATTTGTTGTAATGACTACTGCCGTACTGGCACATGTATATTGAACAACTGATATTTCATGTCTTTATATTGCAGGTACAACTTTTAACTGAACCATGTGTAAAAGGTTTCAATATAATATGTCCAGGACAACATCAAAGGATTTTCAGAAGTAAAGAGTTCTGTAAAACTATTGAAAACCCAGTTTATTTATGCTTATACAATACCTTCAGTTTACAGTATTCTGAAAACTGCACAAAAATGGAATATGCTAGTAGAAAAGGTATGTTGTTTATGAGAAGCTTTAAACCCTATAGATCTTGCCATTGACAGTCCAGCATTGTTTTACACCTTTTTGTTGGGTTAGGCATCTAGTGGCAGGGTTTCAGCTAGCATTTGAGACATTAAGTCATTAATATGGAAGACAAAAAATTACCTTTTTAGCTCACCTGGCCCAAAGGGCCAAGTGAGCTTTTCTCATCACTTGGCGTCCGTCGTCGTCCGTCGTCCGTTGTCCGTTAACTTTTACAAAAATCTTCTCCTCTGAAACTACTTTGCCAAATTTAACCAAACTTGGCCACAATCATTATTGGGGTATCTAGTTTAAAAAATATGTCCGGTGACCCGGCTAACCAACCAAGATGGTCGCCATGGCTAAAAATAGAACATAGGGGTAAAATGTAGATTTTGGCTTATATCTCTGAAACCAATGCATTTAGAGCAAATCTGACAAAGGTAAAATTGTTTATCAGGTCAAAATCTATCTGCCCTGAAATTTTCAGATGAATCGGACAACCCGTTGTTGGGTTACTGCCCCTGAATTGGTAATTTTAAGGAAATTTTTCCGTATTTAGTTATTATCTTGAATATTATTATAGATATAGATAAACTGTAAACAGCAATAATGTTCAGCAAAGTAAGATCTAAAAATTAGTCAAACTTGACCAAAATGGTCAGTTGACCCCATAAGGAGTTATTGCCCTTTATAGTCAAGTTGTAACCATTTTTCTTAAATTTTTGTAATCTTTTACAAAAATCTTCTCCTCTGAAACTACTAAGACAAATTTAACCAAACTTGTCCACAATCATCATTAGGATATCTAGTTTAAAAAATGTGTCCGATGACCCCGCCCGCGAACCAAGATGGCTGACATGGCTAAAAAATAGTACATAGGATAAAATGCAGTTTTTGGCTCATATCTCTGAATCCAAAGCATTTAGAGCAAATCTGACGGGATAAAATTGTTCATTAGGTCAAGATCTATCTGCCCTGAAATTTTCAGACCAATCAGGCAACACGTTGTTGGGTAGCTGCCCCTGAATTGGTAATTTTAAGAAAATTTTGCAGCTTTTGGTTATTATCTTGAATATTATTATAGATAGAGATAAACTGTAAACAGCTATAATGTACAGCAAAGTAAGATCTACAAATAAGTCAACATGACCAAAATTGTCAATAACATAAACGGTACCAATTTTTCTGCACCAGATGTGCATTTCGACAATCAATGTCTCTTCAGTGATGCTCGAGGCCAAAATATTTGAAAATCTAAAGCTTATTAAAAACATGAAGAGCAATAAACCAAAAAGGACAAAAAGTATAGCCAAAGCTGGGCAAGGAATCAGAGCTTTGCATGAAGGAGATACATTCCTAAATTTTAAATAATTTCCAAAATTTTGTAACAGCAAAAAATTGGTGGTTGGGGGTGGAGGGAAGGGGACAATTTTTTTGAAAAAAAGGGGGGGGGATAAAAAAAAATTTTGAAAAAGAAAAAGGGGGGGGGGGGTGTAAAAATTTATTTTTTTTTGGGGGGGGGGGGGAGGTCAATTCGCAACAGCAAAGTATATTGCACAAAAGCAAAAAATTGAATAAAAATTCAAATCATATAACCAATTCTAAGTTCTTTGACTACAGTTATTCTGTGTCAGAAACCTATGTGTCAAATATTTAATTACAATCCAAATTCAGACCTGTATCAAGTGCGAATATTGTGTCCATTTTTGCCCCAACTGTTCAGGGTTGGACCTCTGCAGTCGTTTCCAGCTGCGCTCGGCAAAACAATTTATTGGTTATTATCCTGAATATTATTATAGATAAAGATAAACTGTAAACAGAAAAAATGTTCAGCAAAGTTAGATCTACAAATAAGTTTTATATGACCAAAATTGTCAATTGACCCCTTAAGGAGTTATTGCCCTTTAAGGACAATTTTACACAATTTGTTTATCATGTTTGCTAACTTTAAAAAATCTTCTGTAACTACTGAACCAATTCCAACCAAACTTAAGCTGAATGATCCTTAGGGTATCTAGAATAAAGTTTGTGTTTTATTTTCTGTTTACTCAGAAAACATGGCCGCCATGGCTAAAAATAGAACATAGGGTAAAATGTAGTTTTTGACTTATCTATATTACTAAAGGAAGAGACCGATTTCATTGAGCCTCAACTCCTCTGAAACCATACAAAGTAGGAAATATTTGTGATATGACGTATAAATGTAGTGTTTTGTACTTCCTAAATTTGTCTTTGAAACAATTTTTTTTCCACGGAAAATGCCAATTTTTGAGAAAATATCCAAATTCGGAGACCGTTCTCGATCCGTGTCTTATACGCTTTCGCGCATGCTCAGTCGATTTTTTCCCATTGTGTTACTCATTTTGATCCCTTTCGGTAAAGTCAATGGATTTTACGTAGCTCATACGGTTATTGAGTTAAAAGGGTAAAAAACTACTGAAAACCACACTTTGCCACACTTTTCTTAGGTTATTTAATATTTTTATTTTCCAACCGAGATGAATGGGGTCTTTTGCATTATGTTCCTCATTTTCATCTCATTAAAGAAATAGAATTAAATGCATTAACCTTGTCCAAATCCTTATTGTGTCCACCTTATTACTATGTACTAATCTGTTTCAACACTTGCCCAACTGTACCGCGATTTTGCAGGCATCTTCTAGTATCTAAAAAACTAAAGCATTTAGAGCAAATCAGACAAAAGTTGAAGTATTCATTAGGTCAAAGTCTACCTGCCCTGAAATTATCAGCCAAATCGGGTATCTGATTTTTGTCGAGCCTGCGACTTTTGTCGCAAAAGCGAGACATAGCGATCCTACATTCGGTTGGCGTCGGCGGCGGCGGCGTCCAAAAATATTCACCCTTTGGTTAAAGTTTTTGAAATTTTAATAACTTTCTTAAACTGTCCTACATTTCAACCAAACTTGGACAGAAGATTGTTTATAATCATAAGATAGTATCCAGAAGAAAATTTTGTAAAAAAAAAATCCTGTTTATCCGTATTTTACTCATATATGGACTTAGTTTTACTGCCAGTTAACATAACATTCACTCTGTGGTAAAAGTTTTTCAAATTTTAATAACTTTCTTAAATTTTGGCACAAGGTTCCATACCACTAAAGGATGGTTTGGATTGCTTTTGGGGGCTATTGACTTGCGGTTTTGTAATTAAGGGCCAGAAAGAGGGCAAAAAAGTTATTTATCTGGTTTTAAGACAATAACGAGTATAAGAGATATTTATTTGGTCTATATTTTAGCAAAAGGTTCCAAACCTCAATAGGAAGGTTGGGATAAATTTTGGGGGTTATGGTCATAGCTGTTAAGGAATAAGGGGCCAAAAAAGGTCTAACAAAAACATTTTTTTGTCAGGTTCACAGACAATAAGTTGAGTATAAGTGTATTGATCTCTATTAAATTTTAGCACAAGGTTCCATACCACAATAGGAAGGTTGGGATTTATTTTGGGGGTTATTGTCGTAGCTGTTTAGGAATTAGGGGCCAAAAACAAGCATTTTTGATGTTTCAGGACAATAATTGGTGTATAAGAGCAGATTTCTATGAAATTTTACCACAAGGTTCCATACTTTAAAAGAAAAGTTATGAATGATTTATTGAGGGTCATGGCCCATATTGTTTAATAATAAGGGGTCGAAAAGGGGCAGAAAACAACCATTTTTCTGTTTTGCAGGCAATAACTTGAGTATAAGTGTATGGATCTCTATTCAACTTAAGCACAAGGTTCCATTCCACAATAGGAAGGTTGGGATTTATTTTGGGGGTAATTGTTGTAGCTGTTTATTAATTAAGGACCAAAAAGGGGTCAAAAAGAAGCATTTTTCATGTTTCAGGACGCTAGTTTGTGTGTTAAGAGTTTGGATTTCTATGAAATTTTACTACAAGGCTGCATACTTTAAAAGGAAAGTTGGAATTGATTGTAGGGGTCATGGTTCAAACCGTTCAATGATATGGGGCTGAAAAGGGGCCAAAAAATTAGGATTTTCTGATTTGTGGACAATAACTTGAGTATAAGTCTATATATTGCTATTTAATTGTGCCACAAGGTGTTTTACCATAAAATAAAGTTTGGGATTGATTTTAGGGGTTATGACCCTATTGGTTTAGTTAAAAGGAGCCAAAACCAATACTTTGTATAAATTTCTTATTGTTGTAGCAATTTCAATGGGGTTTAGTTCAAGAGTCTTGAATTCTTGGGAGTCTTTAATATGCTGAATCTAATTGGGTATTTAAAATTTGGATTTTAGGGTCTGTTTTTGAAAAGATTCATATTAAGGTCCAAAGGGTCCAAAATTAAATTTTGTTTGATTTCTTTAAAAATTAAATTATTTGTGTTCCTTGATATGCTGAATCTAATTGTGTATTTAATTAAGTCCCCAAAACGAAGTTTGGGAAGACTTATTGTTTTTGCTCAGTTCTTCTTATTATTATTATTCTTCTTCTTCTTCTTCTTCCGCCACTTTTAAATTTGAACTTGTCCGCACCCGTTCTCCAAAACTGCTTGTCAGATTAACTTAGGGTTTCACAATATGTTAGACTAACATGTCTAGTGGTGCAATCAGGGTTTTGTTTGTGCAAGGGGGTTTATAAAGGGGTACTTTGAGGGGCAAAAAGAAAAGAGGGTTTTACTATAGAACCCTATGGGATTTTATTTTTTAAAATTTTCAAATGATTATAAATTGAAAACCATTTGTGATACACACAATCTTTTTAATTGAAAATGTTCTAAATGATAAATCCCATTAAATGAAATACAAGGTTAGTCCCCAGGGGCCACCCCCACCCCCTGCCATTTAAGAAAGTTCTAATACCTTGTAAGTGGTCATGATCCCCACCCCTAAACCATGTATATTTTGGTTTGTTATGCTAAGATGGTTTGAATGATATACAGGGTTGGTCCCCAGGGGTCATCCCGACCCCCTGCCATTTGAGAAAGTTCAAATATCTTGTAAATGGTCGAGATCCCCACCCCT